CACATCTTCACAAGGCCAGTGACTGGCTCTGGTTCCTCTTCTCGTACAACGTGGGGCAAGAGGACATGGGCCCAAGTCCTAGTCCCCTTGGCAGACCTCACAGCCAGAGACTTCCCTCTGTGACGTGCTCCCCTCACGGGGTTGGGGTACGGTATGAACACGCCCCGTGAGGCCCGCCGGACCTGACAATGAAGCCCATGGAGGGGTCGAGGGGCTGAAGAGAGTGCTGTGAGGGTGGGGTGGGGAGGGGAGAGGAGGGTGGCGGCAGAATTGCCCACCCAGACTCACTTTGGTGTGGAACTCCATCTTCGTTCTCAGCAGTTTGAGGTAGATGCTGCAGAGCTGTCCGTACCCCTCCCTCAGGTGGCCCTTTCAACAGCAGCAAGAGAGAGAGACAGTCAACACCAAGACCGTAGGGCAGCGGTTCTCAACCTGTGGGTCCTGACCCCTTTTGGGGGTGGGGTGGGGGGTGTCGAACAACGCTTTCACAGGGGTTGCCCGATTCATCACAGTAGCAAAAGCACAGGGATGATGTAGCCACAAAAGTCATGTTATGGTGGGGTGTGTGTGGGGATCACCACAACATGAGGAACTGTACGGAAGGGCCGTGGCATCAGGAAGGTTGAGAACCACTGTCCTATGGGGCTGAGAGGTTTCTGGGCCAGGGTTGACACCTGTCCTGAGTGCTTATGAAAGTAACAACGGTTCCTTGTTGAAATTTTAGACAATATAACCAAGCACATGGGCACGCGGACACATAGGTATGTTCCTCTTCTACTAAGCCGGCTGCTTAGAAAGAAAAAGTACGCCCCTTGACAAGACAGGCTGACACCGTGGCTGCCCTAACGGGCTCTGGGGGCTGGCGCAGGGCCGGGCACTGCTGCGCTCTGCTGTGCATGCGGTTGCGATGGGTTAGACCCGCCGTGAAGGCAGCTACCGACGTTTGGTTATTTAGCACAGTGCACATGTCTGCATGTTCTTCTGGGCCAGTGCCCTGTGAAGTGTGAGTCTGCAACACAGGTTACAGAACTCATTCATTCCTGTTACAGTTTGCTTCTTGTATAATGTACACCGTGTTTACATGGAAACTATGTTTCCACGAGCACTTTTTATACTCGCCTCTTGTCAGCCAACATGATGACTCTGTAGGAAAACAGAAAGAAACCCCAACAAGTGGTTTTATGCAGGTATTTTAAGTCTCACACCCTTAGCTGTCAAAGCCCAGTCTGGGGCTACTTCCTTCCGCCTCTATTTAAAGCACAGAAGGTGTAAAAACCCTCCCCCGGATGGATTCCAGAAAACCAAGAGGGCCCTACCATATGACACACCCGGCAGTCACTTGAAATGGGACCAATCTTGGCTGGTGAAAAGTAAGCCTTCCCAGAGGGCCTGCCCCCAAGCACCCAGGTACACCGGCTGGCCCGGCCTGAGCACTAGGGAATAAGCTGGACCTAGTGGGTGAGGCTGACAACTCTGTTATCTAATCAAAGGAGAGAAACGGGGGCGCCAAGAACGCCTAAACCAAACAGTGGGGGGTTCCCAGGTGAGGTTTAAAAAAAACACTGGTAGAGGTCGGGAGAGAAATGTCTCGTGGACGCTAGGCAGGCTCTCGTGTTGTTGCTTGGGAGAACCGATGACAAGATCCCAGGCCCTGGGAAGCAGGGGCCTGCCGTCTTCCTGGTGTGTATCTCGGTGTGGACTCATACAGCATTTGTCCTTTTGTGATGGACCAAGTTCTCTCCACGTCCTGAGGTATCGCACGGTTTCATCGTTTTGTTGTTGTTGCTGGTGTGGGCGACGCACAGGACTCCATTGTGTGTCTGTACCAGAGCCCCTCTATCCATTCTTCTACTGCCGGGCACTTGGGTGAGTTCCAGCTTCTCACTATTGTGAACTGGGCTTCGA